ACAACACTAGATGTCACAACCATTCCATTCGGAGTCGCGCAGTGAGGCGGCTCGGGTGCTGCTTAAAAACTGTTCCCCTACTTCTAATTTTATAAATTAAGCACTGGTTATTAGTTTGGCTAAGATAAGTCTGCAAAGATATTGTCACTGCCATTGGTTTGCCTGATATTAAAATAAGACGGAGCTAGCTAACGTGTGCGCGTGCGTGCATGCATAATTGAGCTACAATTCTTCTGAGATGTTTTAGCTTAATATTTGGACAACCACCATCATTACAATAAATGAAATCTGTAGTCATTTAATACTCACAGGCCTACATTCAGCAGGCCTATATTTTGTGCTAGAGCAGGGGTAGGCAACGTGTGGCTCCGGAGCCACATGTGGCTCTTTAGCCCCTGTCCAGTGGCTCCTTGAGCCTTTGAGACAGGAAGTCTATGGAAATTCATTCTATGAATCCAAATGTTCCTGAACCTCGGTAGCAGTGGCTGGTTAGCTATGGATGCCACATCCAAAAACGTAAATTGAATAAAATAGAGAATGTAGTAGTGCGTGGACAGATTTGTTTGCTCTCACTGCCAGCTCTGCAAAATTTAAGTACCAGATAATTATTAATAGTGCCCTGCACAGTGGCCACCTTGTGGTAAAACATATTAACAAATGCTTATTTAGACCATAAGTATACGCTAATTTAGACTTAATAGGCTATTTAACTTGATTATAAGGCTCAAACATGTTTTGCGGCTCCACACAGATTTTTTCAAATTATTTTTGGTCAAAAATGGCTCTTTTAATGGCACAGATTGCAGACTCCTGTGCTAGAGTGACGCTACGTTATATGAAACATTAACCATGAAAATTAACCATGTCATGTTAGCTTGTCGGTAAGGGGGGTAAATAGTGCTCCAAATTTAGGCTTACGTTTAGCATGGAAAACAGGGCACGAGCAAGGGGTCCCTTGTTCTCTTACTTATAGATACCTGAATGAAAATGTTTTTGTATGATAAGCGTTACCCCTTTACAGACACATCCACTTCACTCTAATCCCTTGCAGTTTTGTGCAAAACCCACGCGGTTATTTTGTGTGCGGTATTTATGTAATTTCTATTCTATTTTATTATTCCTGCATATTGGGGTCCTTAAACAGTATTACAGTTGGATAAATTGGGGCTGACTGGAAAGCTGTCTCTTGTGGAGTCAGTGAGCCCCTTGTATTCATGTGTGTGCCATGTGTTTACACTCTTACCTCATAATAGGCATATCATTGCAGTAATTTCACTGTATAAGGTGAGCTGTTTTTGATATTTTATACAGGTGAATCGAATCGAATGCCTGCTATTGACGACGCAATAAAACATCCATCGGTTAAAAGTAATTAATACTCTGAGTAGTTTTTGAGAAGTTTACTTTGTACTTTTACTTAAGTATTTTTTAAACACCAGTACTTTTACTTGTAGTTGAATACAATTTAAGCAATGTAACAGTACTTGTACTTGAGTACAAATTTTCAGTACTCTTTCCACCTCTGAGTTTAGTTTAGTTTAGTTTATTAAATTTATTTGTAACAGGGACAGTGCACAAAATGCATTAATCTCACGAAGAAAAAAGATGTTTTGTACCAGATTTAGCTTCTAGCTACTTTCCATCTGTAGTCCCTGGGCAGGTGAACAAAGACAAAAAAACACAGGACAAAATCCATCATCATCTCCACAACAAACCAATAGAATACCCACACTGGAAGGTCCCACACACACACACATGTACACACACACACACACACTCAGTCACAATAGTACGCTGAGTAAAGACAAGACAGTATACAAATATCAAAACATGGAGCACACATGTCCAAAGTCACAAAAACAGTCAAAAATGTAAAATAAATGCTGACAAGACTGATCACTTAAAAACCATTTTTAAGCTTCATGAGAGAAAACACGGATGTCCGTGCAGGTTTTAAGATTGACAGGGAGCTTATTCCATTCTTTAATGGCTTTAGAAGAAAAAGCAGATTGTGCAAAGGCGGAGCCTCATTTAGGAACGCTACTATCTCCCCCTGAAGCAGACCTGGAGGTTCTGCTAGTTTGCTCAGAGCAGAGCTGAACAAAGCTCTTCAGTGGTGGAAGAGCAGCATTATAGATTATTTTATGCACTGAACGAATATCTGAGTACCGAATTAAATTATCAAAACTTCACATTTTATATTTAACAAGAATTTCACAATGGTGATACTGTCTTGATTTGAATCCAATTCAGTACGTTGACAGAGTTTGAATTTAGACAATTTGGAGAGTAGTACTGAGTGATTAACTGTATCAAAAGCCTTATGCAGGTCAAGAGATACAGCACCCACCACCCCTCCTTTTTCGAGATTAGCCTTAGTGACTTCAAGGAAGTAGCAACACGCCGTGTCAGTAGAATGGTTAGGTCTAAACCCAAATTGCATGGGATGGAGTAGATTTTCTTTATTTAGGTGAGCTACTAGTTGTTCAACAACAACCTTTTCAACAACTTTCGAAATGGCAGGAAGTATACTGATTGGCCTGTAGTTGCTTACCTCCTGTCTGTCACCTGCTTTGTATACAGGAGTTACAATGGCCATCTTCAGACTGCTAGGGAATATGCTTTCGTTCAGTGACAGGTTTACAATACTAGTGACAGACATCGTTAAATCATCTTTATATTTTTTAAGAACAGTATCAAGTCCCCAAATATATTTTGCCTTTGAATTGGATAATGAGGAAAGAATTTTATTTATTTTGCCTCATCTGTATGATTAAAATTCAGTGCATTTACTTCACTTATTAAATTCAATGGGAGCTGAGTTTCTGTAGAGTTGCTACTCATTTCTGATACAGAGTTGATAAAATATTCATTAAAACTATTTGCAACAGTCAAACTATTATCTTGTATAATCCCATTTGACTTAAGTTCCAAAGGTTCACTCTTGAGGCACTCTTTTCCTGTGAGTTTATCAATACTTTTCCATTACATTTTTGTATTCCCTTTTGCCGGTCTTATTATCTCAAAAAAGAAAGAAGCTTTAGCCTTCCTAAGCTGCCCCGTAACTTTATTTCTGAGGCTTTTAAATATCAAACGATCAGTTTCCAATCCAGTTTTTAAGGATTTTTTAAGGGCTGCATCTCTTTTCTTCATTAAGTGCCATAAATTGTCATTAAACGAAGGCGGGGTCTGTTTTCTATTTTGTTTCTGAGGCATTGTTTTTGTAAATTTGGATAAGACTTGCTTAAATGTGGATATTAAGTCATCACAGGCCTGCTCACAATGTTAACCATTAATTGTACTTTCCCATTTGGTTTGTCTAATTTCATTCTCAAATTGCTCTGAGTCTTTCTTTGGAATAAATAAAATATATTTCTTCTCTTGCATTTTATTTTGAGCCCTATACCGCTTCCTTGACAACTGCGAGTATCATTTTGCAAATCAATTTGTTTACACTGAATGCCCTCTTTAACATAGATCATAACACCTCCACCCTTGCCATGTTTACGATCTCGTCTATAGATGCTGTAACCTGGGATAGGCTACTAAAAACACTGGATGGAGTTGTTGGGGTTAACCACGTTTCAGAGCAGCAGGTCTGCGCACCACAGGTGTGCGTCCAATTCCGTCTTCTTGATAATCTCCAGCTACCGGTATGGTTTGGAGGCTATCATCTCCAGATGGCTGGTAGTCTCCAGGCCCTGGATTAAGGTGGACATCTCCACAGAGCAGGAGAATAGTACAGAGAAACGTGACAAGCTGTCCATCGCCGGGAGCGGGGACTCCATTCCGAGCAACATGGCCTGGTTGACGTTGTTTGGTAGAAGCTCGCCCGTTGTTCAGCACCGCGGAGTAAGATGTAATGACTCCATGAATCAAGACGAGGTTGGAGAACAGCAAACTGCAGATCAGATGTCTCAAAGTGACGGGGTGATCTCAAGTACTCAGCACACTAACTTCCCCACAAGGGTAGGACCGCAACCATTAGCAGGTACAGGATCAAAATTGAAACGTATGATAGCTCTTGGGTTTTAATATTGACCAGGCAAAGTAACCAGGATGAGAACTTTATCTTGATCTTAGTGATAAAGAGTTCCCCAGATGATAATAGGGAAGGTGAGACAACGGCGCCTGCCTGACCGTGGCAAACACCTGCCGCCATGTTATCACTTGGGTGATGCACATGTGTAGATGTACTTTGTTACATTCCACCATTGGAGGGATAAAGTATCCACATGTTAAAAGTTTACAATTCAAAGTAGTTTCTTGAAAAGATAGAAGATAGTAAAAAATATAACCAGACACAGTCTTACACTCAGACATTGAAAACATAGTGTAATAGCTTCCTCTGGTGGCACTGTGGTGGAGCTTCAATATCACTACTACTGCTGCTACTGCTACTACTACTAATACTACTACTGCTATTACTACTACTAATAATAATAATATAGAAATGTATGTGAGGTATTTTTATTATGTATTTTGTTGATTTCAGAGACATTAATTTAATTGATTGTTGCTTTTTAAATCAGTCGAACATTTAATTCCAAGCATTGTTTCACCATTTATCTCTACCAGAGAATGTATTCTTATGTCTCCACTTTGTTTTAATTTCTTCATCTCAATTTCTTAATTTTGTCTTTATTTTTTCCACATACTTACTTTTATATTTTGTCAAACAAGAATTTTTCTAATTAATTCAATAGAAACAGTTTCTGTTCATACATTCATAATAATATTTAAAAGTTGCTTAAAAATAGATTGGATGTTAAAAGTAAATATCTTACAAAGAAAAAACATCCTGATCATATTCTCTAATCATCAGTAAATTATGATGATTTGGTCTTTTGATTGTACATTACTTCATTAAATGCAGCAGAATCAAAGTAAATTTTCATATATCATTCCTGCTGTTCCAGCTATTCCTTCTGATATTCTGCATCTAATTTTGTAATCTTAGTTATGAATTAAAATCCTGCTCTCCTCTCTGTGTCCTCAAGGATCCCGGTCCTCCTCCCGCCTCCCCCCTGCTGGGTCTCAAACCTCTGCAGCTGCTGGAGGTGAAGGCCAGGGGACGCTTTGGCTGCGTCTGGAAGGCCCAGATGATGAACGAATACGTGGCTGTCAAGATTTTCCCCATCCAGGTTCAGACTCAGCCTTTTTCTTACTGATGTGTGCGTTGTTTTGATATCCTGAAACTATTTCACATCTCCCCTTTCTCCTTGTCCTGCTGTTCTCCCTCCCCCTAACAGAATAAGGAGTCATGGCAGAACGAAAGGGACGTGTTCCTTACTCCAGGTATGAGGCATGAGAACATCCTGAGGTACATCGCTGCAGAGAAACGAGGGAGTCACCTGGAGGCCGAGCTGTGGCTCATCACCGAGTTCCATGAGAGGGTGAGGAAGAGAGGGAGGAGGATGAGGAGGAGGAGGGAGGCAGGCTTAACTCTATTATGGCTCAAGTTGTAAAATATCTGACTGGTGTTTATTCACTTGTCAAAATTCTGTAATCATCAAAGGCAGCAATGACTGACTAAAACTCACCATACTGTTGGTGCGTTCAGGGTCACTCTGACATCAGAGACTTTATATTGGTTGCAGAGTACAGACTGGGTGAAATGTTTCAATGGCTGCATTGTTTCATCAGTTGGATATCTGCATGTCTGACGCCTTCCTTTGGACATATTTCCCCACTTTTAATCTGGAATCTGTTGAAACTGTGAGATCTCTGTTAGAGTTTGTGATGTCTGAAGGATTGAAGCTGATTTGTGTTGCGTAGAAACAGGTTGAATTATTCTTACTGCTCTGGAAGGTTTTATGTGGTTTGTAAGAAAATCAGGTTTTTACGATTCCGGTAGAGACGGAAGCGACTTGTTTTTGAATGAACTCCTATTTGTGTCTTTGCAGGGCTCTCTGTCAGATTTCCTGAAGGGAAACATTGTTAGCTGGTCCGAGCTGTGTCACATAGCCAAGTCGATGGCGTGCGGCCTGGCTTACCTTCACGAAGACATCCCCCGACAAAAAGGAGAGGGACCCAAACCAGCCATTGCCCACAGGTCTGCCACCAATAGATCATTAAAGTAACTTTAAAGAGAGCCTGTTTCGCTCATTTTCAGGCTCATACGTTTATTTTGGGTTTCTAGTTGCATTGTGCATTTAAGATGTACAGGAATAAACCGTTTATGAGGCTTTTCCTGGTTATGATCATATTTTAAGATAAGATAAGATATTCTTTATTCATCCCCCAGGGGGAAATTCAAGTATCACAGCAGCACAAGACAAAAACAAAGGACATTAACTCCGTTCGGACGCCAGCGTCCTTGCTATGCTCTGCTCCTCTGTTAAATGGGATCTCACAGACGCACTACGTCATCAAACCATGTGATATGTGATTTCACCGGATTCAGGGAGCTCTCGGCTTCCTGAATCTGGCATCGTTTTTTTTTTATTCCTTATGGTTTTCGCACCAGAGCAGCCTAAATACACAAAGTCCATAATCGCGATGAGTGGTGACAAGCCATGTTATGCCGTTTTTCGAGGGGAAAAGTTAAAGGATTACTCGTGGTCTCATGCCGAGCCGTCCGGGGAATACATAGCTGGTTTATAAAAGGTAAGATCTCACTCCTACCACTATTTTTGGCTGAGATACACATAGAAAGTGGGTTCACAACTTTCACGTTTCATATGGCTTTATTTGGTGATATATTATGGTGTTTCTGTCATAAACAACATCAGCTATGATAATCACACCTGATTTCAATAATATACGATGTCTGAAGCTGGCTGAATGTTGTTTGATCACTGATAGTATTGTTTTGAAGCAGAGTGAGCGCTCTGTCATTTGGATCTCCGCCTGGATCTTTTCATGGAAAAAACACTGTAGAATGGTCATACTTTGAGCAATTTTATTCAAACTTGAAACAAATGTTCACTGATAGTGTGCCTACAACCCCACAGTGTCATTTACCGGCTCAGATGAAGCCACAGACAGTTATTCATCCTGAAAATCATTTTTTATTTTATTTTAGGCAAAATCTTCAGCTTTTTACTGACTTCAGAGGCTCATTACTCTGTCTCTGTATCACCTAGAGTGTTTCTGACACTTTCACAAGAAACTTCAGAGAGTTTGCTTTCTGGCAAGACCTCATGCATGCATGTAGTCAGAGCAGTTCAGAGGCTACAGTCATTTGAATTTGGGTATGTCATTTTAGGCGTTTTCGCTAAAAAATGGGGGTGGAGTGCAAGAGGTTAAATAGAATAAGATTAAAGAGAAAAAATAAAAATAAAAATTAAAGATAATAATGGATAAATAAAAGATAAAATAAAATTGCTACATCAGATGAATAAAGTGACAAAAAATGGCACACAGAGTGTTGAATGAAATAAAGTGACAGGTGGCAGATAAAGTGTCATTATTGGACAAATGCAATATAGGTCCGTTCAGAGCTAGATGTAGCTTAAGCCAAACCGCTGTTGTACAGTCTGATGACGATGGGAACAAAGGAGTGCCTGAATCATTCAGTACTGCACCTGGATGGGATCATCCGCTGGCTGAATGAGCTGCCCATCAGCCACAGCTCGTCGTGCAGGGAGTGAGAAGGATTGTCCAGGATTGCACAGATTTTCACCCTTCACCTTCACTCTCCTCTCAGCCACTGTCTCTGGACTGTCCAGGTCCAGTCCCACCACAGAGCGGGCTTTCCTCACAAGCTTGTTGAGCCTGTTGACCTCACCAGTCTTAACTCCACCCCACCAGCACACTACAGCAAAGAAGAGTGCACTGGCAACCATAGACTGGTAGAAGGTCTTGAGGGGCCCACTAAAGACACCAAACGATCTGAGTCTCCTCAGGAATGACATCCTGCTCCGTCCTTTTTTTGGATATGGTGTTTACATGAGCACAGAGAAATCAGCTTACTAGCATCCCAGTTACTGATTACTGCATTCTATTTGTGCAGGTGCAGTTATGTTTATAAAACAAACTGGCAATTTTGTAATCTGACATTCTCAAATCCTGTAACTGTTGCACTTAAAATAATTCAACTGTTGCTTAAAATGAATCCACTTTTGCTTTTATCGACCTTAGCACTATTAAACGTCTGATCCCAGTTTCTGTCAACAGGATAGGGTGTTTACATGGTCAAACACATGAACTGGATATACCAATGAAACTTTAATGAAGGTGTAATATCAGCACTTAAATAAAAATACTGAGTGTTTAAAAAACACTTCATTCTCCTCATACTGCCATACAGGAACACCTATATTCACCCTCCTGAGAAAGTCTGAAAATTTTCCCAGTCTTCTGGATCTGTGTCTTTGCAGCCAGGGAATGACCGTAATAGAGAATAGAGTCACTTTCTTCCGTGAAATGTTCCAGCAGGAATATGATCTGAAATCAACATCAGCAACCAAGATCACCTGATGTTAGCATGTAGGTGTATGTATCAGTGTATGTAGACACTAACAGTAGCATGCCTGGAGCAGATGATAACCATTAAAGGAATCCGTCACCAGCTGAGGTTTTTACTCACAGGGATTACTTACATAAGCATAAGTGTAAGTTTAAGTCATTATGTGAAACTTTGGCCATGTTTAATATGAACACCTGACACTGAAACATTATATGACTGAAAACAGAGAAAAGCATAATAGGTCTCCCTTAAGGTCATGTAGCTTCAGCTTGCTGCTCAAACTTTAAAGGTCTGTCAAAACTGTTCTCAGTCATTTTAGATGAGGAAACCTCATTGAGCAAAGCTGGCTCTGATTGGCTTTCCGATTCTCTGTCAAACATGCAAACATGGAAATGAATATAATAATAATGTAGAAATCAACACAAAACATATTTAAAATGCTTTATTGGTTCAGTGGTTTAATGCCTATTACTTTATTCCTGAGGGTACTACTGTAGAAATTATTATGGGTGCAACTTCTTTAGAGAGTGGAAGTGGCAGTAAACTATTTAATCACATTGACTTTCCATGGTTGGTCTCAGTGGCTAAAAGCCAACGGCGGTTGTTTTCAGTAGTAATTCGCTTTCAGTTTAGCAAATACTGCATTGATTTTATTGGATATTTAACAATGAATTAGCATTCTCTAAAATGAGCTCTGGGACCTGTTGTTCGGTCTGTGTCTGTAACGACACTAACTAAGATTAATTTTGAGGCTTCAACAATAGTGTGTTAAACATGGAGCCAGAACAAAAAGGGATTGCTCCTGACTGTAACCAGCAGCACAGTCTCCACCGTCAACCTATGGAGGAGAATAGGTTGCCCCCCGTACTGTATAATGTTAATACTGGATTGTCCCATCTTGGAAAATAAAATGTACTGTCCCTTACTGAATTGAATATTACAGATTTTACTGAAGTCTAATTTCAGAGTCATGTTTTATTCAGTAGAACTCAGATTTGATAAATCAGCAGTTATAAAAATGTGTAAACTGTGTCTTTAAGGCAGACAAGTGGAGCAATAGCTGGTAAACATCATGTTTATTCACTTAACATGGTGCTAAAATTAATACTGAATTATGTTAAATGTTTGCTGAATGTTTTCGTGTCTGTTTATGAGTCGTAAGAAATAATAAATAACCTTTAGAGGGAGTAAATGTTTACCCTAAGCTAGCTAGGGCTCTCTTAAATTTATCATTATGTTAATGTAGCAAAGCATGCTAATCATTAACATGCTCCAGTTACAAAAGAAACAACCAATGCTTTGAGATGGCTGTCAAAGATGAAAGACGTATGATCATGTTATCCCATCTGAAGTGTAGCAGGTGGTTTTTTCTACATGTTTACTTCCCAAATGCTCTATGAAAGAGGATCAGTGCACCGTTATGTACCATTACCATTGAAAAATGCTGGTTATGGTTCATTGCCAAAAGTCATGACCAGCACGCAAAGCATCTTGGAGGCTAGGAATAAGGTGGATAGGAGGGTAGGAAAATGGCACAAGGAGTTTGTACAAGCACAAAGATGAAGAAACTATAGAGTCATCAAAGTGCCAAATCAGATTCTTTACTGAATTGAACCTCTTATTGTTTCTCAAATGATCGAGTGACAACACAAGCAGCACCAAGTTCAGGGCCCGTATTCACAAAGAATCCTAAGACTAAAAGTAGCTCTTAGTGACGTCATTCTAAGAAAAATCTTAGAATTCCTCGAATTCTAAGATTTTTCTTAGAATTTTCCCTTGGTAAGATAAAAGTTATTCACAAAGCATCTTAGGCCTTAAGAGAGCTCCTAAGGTGACAAACTGTTAAGAGGAGGGAGGAGGACTTTTAAGAAGCCTAAGAGTGTCTTAAACAGAGAAGATGGCGGAAAGACAGAGAGGAAGGAGAGATATTCTCCGTATATTGAACAACAGTGATTTAGTGAGACGCTACCGGCTTGATCGTGCAGGGATAATGTTTGTGGTTGACCTCATCAGGGATGAGCTTACTTTTCCCACCCAGCGTAGTAACGCAATAATGCCCGCTTTGGATTGCAGCACGTACCAGCGCTTCTCACACTCATCGCTTGTGCGTAAAAGGAGAGGGAACGACGCATTGATTTGTCGGGCAATGCGCTCCCAAGTCTGCCTCTTCCCTTGTGCCGTGATCCCGGGACCGAATTTCCCTCTTAAAACTCCTTTGTTCTCCTCCACGAGCTGTGCCAACAGCAGGCACTGCTCTTCTGTCCAGTTCGGCTTTCTCGTTCTTTTTTGCTCCATTTCATTTATTGTTTTGGGCATTCTGCCAAAGCAAACCGCTTTTTACAAGGAGGCCAGCAATCACAGTAATTGCTGACAGCTGAGTCTGCGTCCACCATTTATCAAATAGATTAGGTATTAAAATTACCAGCATGGCGAGTAAACATAACAATAAGCAAATCAATATAATAATCGGCATGTGAATGAGGTACGTTCAAACATTTTGAAGCTGAGTAACAAGTAATTTAATTTTGCTGAGTTTCATCATTACGACATAAAATTATTTTCACGATTACACATTTCTTAATACAGTCTAAGTTCTATGATCGGTTGATTTCACTGTCCATTCATTACTAGGAGCGCATTTGTTTTTCTTTTTTTTTTTCTTTTTTCCTTTTTGTAACAACCAATCACAGCTTTTAGAAGACTGCGTCATACCTAGCAACGGGGTCAACCACACCTCCTCACTAAGATAAAAGTTTCTGTCTCCTCCTTGCTCAGAGTTGCTCTCAGAAACTTCCTGAATCACTCTTAAGCTAAGATTCCTTGCTAGGAATTTTTAGGCTAAGTTAGGAGCTCTCTGAGAGGACTCTGAGAATCTTTGTGAATACGGGCCTTGACCTTTAATCTCTCTAAAGGACAGAAACAGTTGTCTTTTTTGGCCACATGATGGAACCAGTGAGTTGGGTTACCTCTGGCCTGCAGAGTGACACACAGATCATGGATGAGATTAAGATTCTTTTAAACACAGTCATCACTGAGTGAAATGTCAACACACAGACATGAAACACATGTTGATAGCATTCGGTGTGACTTCTCATTATCTCTGATCCATTCAGAAGAAACGTACATGAATTCACTCAGAAAGCAGAGAAAAAATAATCATCATTCAAAAAAAAGTTTTCAGCACAGTAATCCAGTGATAGCTGTCTGTACATCCATGAGTACACTGCAAACAGGAGCTGCTCACACGTCATTCAGCTCATGAGATGAGACAAAACAAGACTGGATAAGATAAGACATGACAAGGTAAGATTAGATAAGATAAGACAAGATTAGATAAGATGAGACCAGATCAAATTATATGAGATAAGAGAAGATTAGATGAGATAAGGTAAGATGGGATAAGTTGAGATGAGATGAGACAAGATTAGATAAAGTAAGACAAGACAAGGTAAGATGTGGCGGCAGTAGCTCAGTCCATAGGGACTTGGGTTGGGAACCGGAGGGTCGCCTGTTCGAGCCTGTCTGGACCAAATATGGAGCGTGGACTGGTGGCTGGAGAGGTGCCAGTTCACCTCCTGGACACTGCCGAGGTGCCCTTGAGCAAGGCACCGAACCCCCCAACCGCTCGGGGCACTTGACCAAGGGCAGCCCCCTCACTCTGACATTTCTCCACTTTGTGCATGTATAGGTCCAGTTTGTGCATGTGTGTGTCTTTCGGACCTGTGTGTAATTGACAAGCAAGAGTGAAAACATTGAATTTCCCCTCAGGGGGATTAATAAAGTAAATAAACTTAAACTTAAGATAAGATGAGAGAAGACAAGCTAACATAAGCTCACATAAGATGAGACCAGGTCAAATGATCTGAGACATGACATGATAAGATGAGGTGAGACAAGACAAGAAAAGATTAGATAAGTAAGACAAGACAAGGTAAGATGAGACAAGATTAGATAAGAGAAGATGAGACAAGATCAGATAAGAAAAGATGAGACAAGACAACATGAGATAAGATAAGGCAAGGTAAGATAAGATGAGACAGGACAATATGAGATGACCTGAAGAGATGAGATAAGACAACACAAAATAAGATAAAGTAAAGTAGGGTAAGGTGACATATGTCACCCAATGTTACTTATTTTAAGCCAAACTATGTTTGTTTGTTGTGTTTTTTAAACCTAACCAAATGCTTTTGTTGCCTAAACTCATGGAAATAAACTATACATTTAATGAGCAGAACCTGTTATATTCCCTGTGAAAACAAAAGTGTATGTTGAAGAGACAAGCATAAATTGACAGGGGATCCCTGAGCATCCAGGATACCTAGAGTGAGAGTGAGAATGTGTTTGCAAGTTGTGAAAGAATTTTTTTCTGACTCTTTCAACTTTAGTGGGTGTTAAAGTACATCTTCTCAGTCAAGAGATGATTTTTGTGAGACACCACATGATTGTACTATCACACAGCATGTGATGTTTATTTTCCCCCCAAAGCATTATGGTAACTGTGTTGGGGGGGCAGTCTTGCCTGAGGGAGGTTGAAGTGTCAGGGTTTGATTTAATTGTCTCTTTGTGTCTCTCAGGGACTTCAAGAGTAAGAACATAATGCTGCGTTCAGACCTCACAGCAGTCATCGGTGACTTTGGTCTTGCCGTTCGCTTCGAGCCAGGGGAGCCACCCGGAGAGACGCATGGACAGGTGAGCTGCTTTGACTGCAGGGGGTGGTGGTGGAGAACAGTGACACACTGAGCACTGTTTCATGTCTGTTTGTGGGTGCAGGTCGGAACGAGGCGTTACATGGCTCCAGAGGTTTTAGAGGGAGCCATCAACTTCCAGCGAGACGCCTTCCTCCGGATTGACATGTATGCCATGGGTCTGGTGCTGTGGGAGCTGGTGTCCCGCTGCAAGTCTGTGGACGGTAACACACACAACTACTGTACACCTGTCTACCACAAATTTATGTGATTTTATATATATCTAGATTTCATCCTTGTATTAAAACATCTGCACTGTTATATTTCCTAGATTCTTTACAGTCTTTTCTGCTTGCGTTTGCCATGGCTCTCTGTTTGTTTTTTCCGCTTCTTTTCTGTGTGAGACGAGTGTCACTTTCCCCGGCTCCAGTTACAACAGTGTGAGGGGGAAAGTGGGCGGAGCCACAACAGTGATTGGACATTAACTCGCGGGGAGGGCTTTTGTGCAGCAGGCTGACTTGGCCGTTCTCTTCATACATCCATGGACTCGGCCTGTGGATAGGCACATATACGCACAGTGTCCTGTAAAGCATCAATGCCAAATTAATTGCAAAACTGGAAATCCGCCCTCCATAAGGGCATATTGATCCGTGCAGGGCGGACCAAATGGTTCAATATTTTACCAAGGACCGTTGCATCCCTATTAAGAACGCTTTGAGGGAATTTCTTCAAATTTGTCCACTTTGAGCTTAACTGATTCGATCTTAGTGGTCAAAGGTCAAGGTCACTGTGGCCATCTCATTTTTCTGAATACGATATCTCAAGAACACCCTGAGGGAATTTCTTTAAATTAAGCACAAACATCTACTTTGATTCAAGGATGAATTAGTTATAATTTGGTGGTTAAAAAGTGAAAGGTCAAGGTCACTGTGACCTTGTCTATCTGTTCTCAGAAATGCAGTAGCTGAAGAACACCTTGGCACAAATGCTTACTTTGAGTCCAGAGTGAACTAATTAGAACTTGGTGGTCAAAGGTCAAGGTCACTGCAAGCATGCATCCTTCTCATTCTCTTGAATGCAATATCTCAAGAATGCATTGAGGTGAATTTCCTCAAATCTGAATTTGAATGAACTAACTACAATTTTTGGTTGAAGATCAAAGGTCACTGTGACCTCACAAAACATGTTTTTGGCCGTGATTTTCTTTTTATACATATTTTAATGAGCATTGTTGGAGGGAGCCCGACCTCTAATATTTTCACTGCCACTGACTGCTTCTCTGTAACTTGACACACACAAACACCACTATAAAATAGTTACTGTCAGTTAACAGTAGATTACAGTGGTGACCAGATAATCCGGTGTAGAGAGAAGCATGAAATACCCAGAAAAAAGTGTGAGGAGTTTTTACTTTCAGCAAAATTAAATTATCACAAAGAGTCATTTCCCACAAATGGATACTCAGAGTTCAAATACAGAAACATTTGATGCCTGTTTCTAAAATTAGCTGATTCTGTCTCAAAACTGTAATCGCTGAGTTGCTGCTGAAGCTCATAATAGTTTCTCCATGGTCAGACTGTATCACTGCTGTCTCTGCCACATTTTAAACACAGTCATGAATTCTAAGACAGAGGCAGCTCCTTCTACTCGACTAATATTCACTCAGGTGTTTTACTGTGAATTGCCTTCATAGACACTGACTCACCCTGTGTGTGTCTATTAGGTCCAGTGGATGAGTACATGCTACCGTTTGAGGAGGAGGTCGGTCAACATCCATCACTGGAGGACCTGCAAGAGGTCGTCGTCCACAAGAAGATGAGACCGGCCCTCAAAGACCTGTGGCTAAAACACAGCGTGAGTCCTCCATCACAGCAAACCAGACACTTGAACGTTGAATGTTGATATTGGTACATAGTAGTCAGTGTAACACAGTGTTTGGGCTACAACTTAAGACTATTTTGTGACATTTTATATCCAAAAGATTAAAGTTCTACTTCCCTGTGACACCATAACGTTCTGCTAAAGCACTTTGCTGACCATTATTCAACCTCATATCTCAGGAACAGAAGGGGAGATATTTGGTCAGATACTGAATTGGTGACTCTTGAAACTGTGCTAATTGTATAGATCTTTGCTGTTGTGTTCAGGATGTGTGTGAAGCATCCACATTTTAGAATTTGTAACTCTTTTGCAGTAATATCCATATTTAAAGCATTGTCAACTGGCGTGGCTACATATGAGTCTGGACAAATATGGATGTAAACTGTAACTTAAACGTAACTGTTTTGTAGAGGCATACAACCATGAGGGGGTAATTCTAGTTATATCATTATTCTGTTGCATAACAGATGCTACAATTATAAATGTAAAGCGTCTACTCTGTACAGCAGGAGCAGCAAAGTCTCAACACAGAGCAGCAGGAGTCAGATTTCACTAATCAGGAGAGTTGACCAACAAGACAGTGGCAAAGGATTTTTAACCCCAATGCTAACAGGGAACTTAATGGTGGTGTGCAGTTCTTCATGTAACAGCTCACTGTGGCTGCTCCTGACTGTTCCATCACTCCCTGCAATATTTCAAACTTATATGCTGTCAACATATGATGAAAATGACTGTTGTCTTGTTTTGTAGATGCATTTTTGATGAACAATAGTGGTAGTGCTAATCTCACTGACAAACACATTGCATTTCCTGTGAGTAAATTAAAGCCAACTAGTGTTTGGCCAGTTAAATCTTTTTAATGTGAAGCTGCAGCAGGAGGAAATGTTTAGTTTGAATTAGCATACAGCACTCTACAGATATTGAGCATCATCAACAAATGTCGTTTCTGGTATAATTATAGGTTATTATTTAGTCATTAGTCATACTTCTACTGTTATTATACACATATGATTATTGTCACACATGTATACTGCCAGATATTAATATATACTTTCAACATATTGTACCACAGTAACCAGAACTATAACTATAATATTATTACTTTCATTAATGTTGTTGTAAGCTACTGTCATTACCATCTGTCCTGCATCTCTCTCTCTCTCTCTCGCTCTCTCTGTCTCATTGTGTTATACGGATTACTGTTAATTTATTATGCTGATCTGTTCTGTACGACATCTATTGTGCGTCTGTCCGTCCTGGAAGAGGGATCCCTCCTCAGTTGCTCTTCCTGAGGTTTCTACTGTTTTTTTCCCCCGTTAAAGGGTTTTTTGGGGGAGTTTTTCCTTATCCGCTGTGAGGGTCCAAAGGACAGAGGGATGTTGTATGCTGTAAAGCCCTGTGAGGCAAATTGTGATTTGTGATATTGGGCTTTATAAATAAAATTGATTGGTTGATTGAATTGATAGGTGTTATCTGAGTTTAGAAACTAGTTGGAAAATTTCCTCACCATGGCATTCCTAGTGTCATATTTTACAGTTCACACTATCCTACTGTTAATCTAGAAAGATTAATCAATGGGGCTGGGGATGAAACTCGATAGCAACCAAACTGTGTTGGTACTACTGATTCACATTAAATCAATTGATACCAAATTTCAGTATCTGAGAGCACATCTGGATGAGACCACCAGGTTCAGGCAGAAAAATGCCCTGATGCTCTGCGGCAGCAACCTGAAACTGTCGCTGCAGTGCCAATAGTTTTGGCATCTGGTCTATTTTCTTTTCAGTTTGATTTTAGAAATAGCCTAGTATAACTTTATATTGTGATTGTGCTTCTTAAATTATGTACTTACTATTTCACATATTGGTCAGTTGTGTCTATACAGAGAACAAAAGAGATGATGGACAGACAGACAGGGATTTAGTGGTGTAAAGAGAAAGCAAGACTACATCATCCCTGCAGCTTGTTCAAAAGTACGTTTTAGTTATTACATAGAGAGTAAAATACTGAAAAAATTACGTTTGGGCACTGGTACCAAATTCTCGGTACTGGTATCCATTCAAATGTGAATGGTACCCAACCCTATTTATTAATAATTAAAAGTCACAAATAATTTTCTGCCTCACAGTGCAAAGATTTGGAAAGTATTTGGACCAGACCAATGAAGCATCAGTCTCTCATAATGTCGCATTGTTATATTTTAGTTGAGTATCTTTGAATCAAATACCTCGTAAGCAAAGAATTAAAATGTAGCCACAAGCAGTGATTCTGGGGTTAAAGCCTGGATGGGCTGTTAAGCTGCTAAGGATCAAGACTTTTGACAGTTTTACAACACCTGCATTAAATATAACCAGTACTTTTCTGATGAGCAGACAGATGCTCGTTCATTTCTCTGCCGAGCCATGCTCTTCTTTGCAACACTGTTGCCCCTTATTGATCAATTTCAGAAACAGTTTGGTGATGTTTGGAAAACTGTCATTGATTTATGGCCAATTTGTGCAAGACCATTGCACTTTTTTGGAACTGGTGGGGCCCCCTTATCTAGTGATTTCAAAAAAAAAAAAAAAAACATCACACGTCAGCATCATGATTATTTAACATACCCTGCAAGTTTTGTAATGATTCATAGTCCGATGGTTTTATATGCCACTGCCATTTTTTGTATTTGTAGCACTCCCTAGTGGTAGATTTAAATGAAATTTTCAGGCTGTGTTAACATTTCCTGCAAGTTTTATGATGATTGGCTCAACAGTTGTGGAATTTGTGTCCTTAGCCACACCCCGTCTAAAGTTCATTGGTCAATATCTTCAAAATAGAATGAGATATCAACAAGCTTTCAATAACTTTTGATATGCTTGGTCCAGTAATGATCCACAGAAAAAAACAAATCATATATTTCTGAAAAAAAATTAAAAATGGTGTAAAATCTAGTCAGGCAGACTTAAATGGTTACTGGGGCTTTTTTGAAAAGCATGGCCCCTCTAAAGTTCAATTTTCAGTATGTACAAAATGCACTGAGATATCAATAAGCTTTAAATAAACTTTGATAAGCCTCATCCAATAATTCCCATAAGGAATTAAGAAATGTTTTTTTACACGTGGTTAAATTTTTCTATTTAAGGTATACTGCACGTTTTGTAATGATTCACGAATTGTAATAATTTCTGATTTGTAGTCTGATTCATGTTATGCCACACCCATTTTTTGCATTTGTGGTTCTCCCTAGTGGTCAATTCAAATGAAACTTAAAGGTTATGTTGCTAGAAGTTGTGTAGACAGTTTGTTGTTAGACTTTGTCCTATTTATGTGCTGAGCCAAGGCCCCTCTAAAGTTCATAGGTCAGTATCTTCAAAACACAATGAGATCTCAAGAAGCTTTTGATAACTTTTGGTCAGATTGGTCCAGTGATGATCTACAGACAGGTTGGTACAATCATGTATTTAAAAAAAGAAAAAAGAAAAAATCAAAATGGCATAAAATTTAGTCAAGCAGACCTTCATGGTTCTTGGGGCTTTTTGAAGAGCACACTGAGCTACAATTTTCTGTTGAATTTCAAGTCAAATTGGTCTTACAGTGTGAGAGACATGGCCTTTCCAAAATTAAGTTTTTGGATTAGAGCACCCCCATCTGGATGATTAGCTTCATATTTATTGGGCAGCATTTGCACACAACTTCCAATCACTGGTGAATAAGTGTATACAGTGTACCATCTTACAGGACTTTGCAAAAACATTTAACATTTTGCAAAAAAAATTAAAAAATAATGAATTCACACAAAAACATTACTTTTTCAGCCCTTCAGGCTTAAACCCCCAAAATAATAAATTAGTTAGACTCTTGTTTTTCTGATGTCTTCCTGTGATGACTTCTTCTTCTGCTGCTGCTGTCTGCAGGGTCTGGCTCAGATCTGTGAGACAGTGGAGGAGTGCTGGGATCATGATGCTGAGGCTCGATTATCGGCTGGGTGTGTGGAGGAGAGGATCTGTCAGGTCCGCCGCCTCACCACCACCATCTCCCCGCCTACCTCTGACCACCACGCCCTGCTGGTCTCCACGCTCCCACATGTTCCCATGGTAACCAATGTGGACCTACCGCCCAAAGAGTCCAGTATATGAGGAGGAAGTAAGAAAAGAAAACAAACAAACTTGTTTTGGAGGCCTGACGTTACCGGTGAAGTTCGGTTCAACTTCCTGTGAAAACGACCGAATCTCACACACACACACACACACACACACACACACACACACACACACACGCACCATCTTTTCTCAGTGGAATTTTACAACCTGAACCAGAAATATGGCGTGAAAGCAGCTGCTATTTGATCTCTTTGGACTTCTTTTCTTTGATTCTCTCTACGTCCGTTTTGGACAAAAATTACCAGCACACGTCCTTGTTTTTCTCAAGTTTTCCTCTTGGTCTTGATTAATTCGTGTTTTTTTTTGTTTTGTTTTTTTGTTTTTTTCACCAAATGTGTGTGTATGTGTGTGTGTGTGTGTGTGTGTTTGTTTAATGAGAGAACCAAACATGCACATACACACACACACACACATACCCATACACACACACACACACACACACACACAAACAGGAAAACCCAACACTGAAATGCATTCAGGTCCCGACTCAGTGAATGCTCTTCTCCAGGTACCTCAGCAACGACTTTCATTTCTTTAGCTATTTTCTTTTCTTTCTTTTTTTTAACCATTTTCGGCATGCATTCTTTCTTCTACTCCTCCAGATCTGGACTTTTCTACCTACCTGGCAACTTTGCAACTGCGTCACCTAGCAACCACCTACCATCAACCTACCGTTGGGATGTTTTTTTACTACAATGCTGCAAAACCCTTGTAGGAACTCCACGACTGTTACGCAACAAATACTGACTTTAGAACACTTGTTGTTCTACCTTTTCTCTGACTCATTTTCTTTTCTGTTTTCTTCCTTCGACCACACACTAATACTCACACACGACAAACCTTCGGATCCAACGGGTTGCATCCAAAAATACAGGAAACAGGAAGTGAGGTCACAAGGAAAGACTGAAAACACAAAACCTAGAAAGACTGGAAAGACTGCTTGTTTTTATGGGAAGGTTTCCTCTCTCTCTTCCTTTGTGTTCAGCTGTTCTAACTTGAAGTTGAAGACTGAGAGAGGTCTGACGGAATTGCTTTTCAGGAACCAGGAGGCGAACGTCTTGCATGCAGAGATTTGATTGGCTGACTGCGTTCAACCACAGCATTTTGGTTGGCTCAGAAATAAAACTTCTCAGGTAACCAGGTCTACAGGGGCTGGGGGAGGGGATTCGACAGGACGCGATGCCGGCCACAAGTTTTCATGGCTGGGGAGGGGCGGCCAGCAGCAGGTGGGAGGGGCTTATCTGAGGGTGCTCAAAGCCTATTGGCTGTCCTGAAAATGTAAATTTGCAAGGTGCCCAAACAAGGGGGAACACATGTTACCCTAAAAAAGGTGCAAGACCTCATGATGCATAGAGTTGTGTATGCATTCAGGTCGGTGTGTGTGTGTGTGTGTGTGTGTGTGTGTGTGAGTGTGTGTAAGCAAGCATGTGAGTGTGTGTGGTACAATGTGGACACAACAGTCACATGATGTGACACGATAAGTTTTCTTTTTTTTTTTATTATTTAGATTTTATACTGTTTGCGCTGATTGTTTCATGTTCTTAGTCTGGTCGTGTCTTACCTGGAGGTCAATGAAGGACCTGTGACTTTTGACCTCCTCAGCTCTGTTTCCCTCCAACATCCTAAACCTTCTGGTTTAGCTGTAACACTGCAGGAAGCTGGCCTCAGTAAGGAAGTCAGATACATTGGGCCTCATGCAAGAAGCGGTATATGGACAAATTCTTTTTTATTTTTTGTTCAAATCCACAATTTGGTCTTAATTTGTTACCCAGTGATTTCTGGGATTCACTATTTTTTTTTTTGTTCTTTTCTTAGGTCAGAGAACATTTAGTGAGTGGTTGAGAGCACTCTGACCAAGAAAAGAGAAAATATCCTGTTTTCACTGTACACAAATTGTCCAACTCGAGGAAACATAATTTTATTTTGAAGAATATTTTCTAAAAATACATGAATATCATCAAATTTACATTATTATGTGTTACAGTGATTTACTGATTGGATTAATAAAATCATGGGCGAAAGAAATACTACTATCCAGGGCTCCAGACTAACTTTTTTTTGTAGGAGCACTGTAGCCCCTGACTGAAAATTTTAGGGGCACAAGCAGAAAATTTACAGGCATACCTTAACGCAGTTATTCACATTTTTAGCCATTTTAACTGTACCATGAACTATATGTAGTCTACCGTATATTAACATTGGACTGTTTTAATTATTGAAGTATTTAACATTACAAAGACTTGTGGTCAGTGGGATGTAAGGATTCTTAAAATAACATCTGTACAGAAGTGAAGAAAATATTAACCTAATAGTCAGACACAATTTATTTAGCCTCTGTAGTTGAGGGGACAGGTCTGCTCTGCAGCAGCAAACTGATATGATGCTGATTTACATGAGAATTTATGTAAAACAGAGGTTGAACCATGAACATGAATTACAGAATGCCTGTAAAGTATTTAATAACTCAGTCTATCATAATTAAAACAATTGGAGACTGAGAACAAACTGATATATGAGTCTGATAATATTTTGATAATTGTTATGTATGTAAGTAATGACATTTGGATTCAGCCTCCGACTTGAACGCAGCTCATTGAGACCGCCTCAGTGACCGCTGCAGCCACCTCCTCTCGTCCACTTTTCAGGTGCGGTGCAGTTCATCTCAATCGAGCCTACTGATGAGTGTAGATGAGGTGATCCTGGACTTTCCTCCTCTCACACACATTAGCTTACACTGGCGGACTTGCTTGCTTGTTTTACAACATGAAAAAAAAGGTGCCTGCAAATTTGTGGGTCACGCATGAGCGAGTAGTTGTAAAACATACTCGCACTGAGTTGAAAAATGGTTGCAAAATGCAACCATTTGGTTGCAGTCTGGAGCCCTGCTATCCTTGGTCCATTGATCTCAGTTACTGTAGTTTCAGGTACTGTGTGTCCCACTGATGACCAGTGTTGAAATGTGACTAAGTACATTTACGTAAAGTACTTTTATTTATAAAGTCCAATATCACAAATCACAATTTGCCTCACAGGGCTTTACAGCATACAACATCCCTCTGTCCTTTGGACCCTCACAGCGGATAAGGAAAAACCCTTTAAGGGGGCAAAAATATGGTGGAAACCTCAGGAAGAGCAATTGAGGAGGGACCCCTCTTCCAGGACTAACAGATGTGCAATAGATGTCGTACAGAACAGGTCAACATAGTAAATTTGCAGTAATCTGTGACAAAAGGATACATAAAAAGAGACAGAGACAGAGAGAGAAATTGAGACAGAGAGAGACCGAGAGAGACAGCCAGAGAGAGATGCAGGGCAGACAGTAATGATAATAGAGTACAACAACATTAATTTTAGTAATAATATTATAATAACGGTAATTATGGGTATATATTAATTACATGATAGTATATGTATGTGACAATAATAATATGTGTATAATAACATTAGAAGTATGACTAATAATAACAGCAGTAGTAGGAGGCATCAGGCAGGACCACGGCAGGGGCAAAACCACAACGCACCATCCAGGCATAGATGCAATTCCAGTTAACCTGCAAGATAGTGGAGCACAAAGGCGCCATAGAAGAAGCCCCGTTAGTGATATGCAGTAACAGGACATGAATGTTGGCAAGTGAAGAAGAACCAACTTTTCAGAAAGTAAGGACAGAGACAGAAGGAGAAAAGGGGCTTGGTGCAGACTAGGCCTATGTCAGCCTAACTAGGGGCTGGTCCAAGATGAGCCTGAGCCAACTCTAACTATAAGCTTTATCAAAAAAGAAAGTCGTAAGTCTAGTCTTATTGCGGAGATGGTGTCTACCTCCCGGACTGAAACAGGAAGATGATTCCACAGAAGAGGAGCCTGATAGCTGAAGGCTCTGTCTCCTGTTCTACTTTTGGAGACTTTAGGAACCAGGAGTAACCCTGCATTCTTAGAGTGCAGTGTTCTGGTGGGATAATAGGGCACTATGAGCTCTCTAAGATATGACGGAGCCTGACCATTTAGTTTAGTTTTTAAGTTAGGATTTTAAATCTAATTCTGGGTATTACAGGGTGCCAGTGCAGAGAAGTTAAAACAGGAGAAATATGATCTTGTTTCTTAGTTCCTGTTAGTACACGTGCCACCGCGTTCTGGATCAGCTGGAGAGTTTTTACAGACTTATTAGAGCTACTTGAAAGTACTTAAGTACAAATTTGAGGTACTGTTACTTTATGTGAGTATTTTAATCTCATGCCACTTTCTGCTTCTACTCCACTACTATTGTTAACTTAAGTTACTTTACAAATAAAGATTTTTGTGCACAAACCAAAAATATGAAAATTTTCAAGTGAAACTAAAATGATTAGTTGATTAGAAAATTAACTGGCAACAATTTTGATAATTGCTAGTCATTTTTCATGCAAAAATATTTCATGTTTGCAGCTTCTCAAATATGAGGACTTGCTGCCTTTCCTTTTTTTAATTTATTGAATGTATTTAAATTGTTATACTTTTAATAATTAAAAACATTCCCCTGACTGTACTTACATATTTTTACTGAAGTAACATTGTCAGTGCAGTACTTTTACCAGTAACAGAGTAATTTTACAGTGTGTATTAGTATTGTTACTTAAGTCAAAGATCCGAATGCTTTCTTCAACACTGCTGCTGTGACATTTACATCATCACAAATGTTTTGCTATATTTGGGTTTTTGATTTTCCTAAATTACCAAAACTAAAACTTTGGAAAATCACTTGTTTACTTTGTTTATTTAACAGTATTTCATTACTGTTTCTCCTTCATCGTACGGCCTTTGTTGTTGACATTTCTCCAGTTCTCTAGTTTATGTGTCAGTCTTTGCACATGGCACAACACCTGCCCTTATATAGTGTTTACTGATGATCATTGAGCATCTTGGTGAGAGCAGATTTAGATTGTTAAGAATGTGTGGTGCATCTGAAGTTGACTTCTGTTATTTTTCTTCTCAACAAAGAATTAAGAGAGAATATAAGAGAAATATCAGTAAATGTTGCTGCATGAGGTCCAATGTTGATTTGACAGGAAAAATATAAAATAACACTAGACACATGCTTTACTTTCTTTACTGTAAGTCCAGCCTTCTCCAGTGTTTCTGCAATATAAAAAAAGAAAGAACTGGTCAAGTTAATCACAACTCAAAGATCAACATTTACAGAGGTCAAAGGTCATCAGTCACCCCCTCAGTTACCTCCTAACCTCTGTCTCTTAATCTCTTTTTCTTTTTTATTTTTTTTCTTCACCCGGGACCAAAACCAGGGCATCTTGTCTGTTGCCTCGCAAACCAGCAGCTAAGAGCCCAGTTCAGAAACTAGCTTCATCCTCAAAACACACGTCATTATTAACAATAAGAACTAGAAACAAAACAGTGTTTTTATTTTTTATTTGTATGTTTTTGTGTTTCTGTTTCTTCTGTGATGCCATACATGTAACAGTGAATGTCTATGATGCTGCTGCTGCTGCTGACGATGATGAAGATGATGATTCAAACTCAAAGATGAATATATTTCTGTATATTCCTTTTTATTAATTTGACTTTCGGTGCATTGAACACATGCAACTCTCTGTCTTTGTATGAAGTCAGTGAAGCAAGAGGAGCTTTTCGAGGAGTGTGGGGCGTTTGAGAATGACGGTACAAGAAAGAGAGAATAACATTGATTAATAAACGAGTGGAAAAGATAGATAAGCCGGGAGACAAACAAAACAAAAAAATACATCAAAACAATACTGCTCATAAACCACAGATCACCTCAATACACCAGAAATACCTCAGAAGACTTTTCTACGTGTTAAAGTTCTGTTTCTATATTTTATTAGTTGCTTTGATGACTTGTAGTCACAATATTTTATTGTGAGCTTTTTTATTCTTTGGTTTTTGTTTTATTTGATTAGTTGTTTTGTTTTTGTTTTTTTGTTGTTTTTTTTACATAAAATCTCCAAACTGATTGAAGAGGAAAGTCTACCAGGTTACAGCCAGACTCAAACCTTCACTGTTAATAGTCAATAAAGTGTTTGTTTTTGTTAGACTGAACTGAACTGCCGATATTATAAAAACACCTGGACTGAGCTGGACTACTTCCATCATCACTCATGAATTTCCATCTTTGTGCTTATTTCTCTTTCCCACCTTTTCTTTTGTCTTCTTCAACGAACTCAACGGCTGTGGTTGAATAGTCCAAATTAATTACATTCTGTGTCTTTTTCTAAACACTTCTTCTTGATCTTGATGGACAACGTCACTGGGTGAAGGAAAGATAAGAAGGAGAATTCATAAGGACTTGGGAAAAGACAAGATGATAGATGTTATGGACATGGGTCTGCCGTGATCAAACTACAATGTTCCGAAGATGAACGACGCGTTACATGACTTACGCTCATACTTGCCAACCTTTAGACCATAAAAGTAGAGAGGATTTTTTAAGTTTCAGAGACTGTGTTTCCTGCATTCCATTGCTTTTAAAGTATGAAAATAACAAAATATAAATTGCGTACATTTGATTTGGTTTAGTTTTTAGTTCATTCAGCTCCAGCAGAGTACCAGGAGGAGGGAGGCAGGCCAGGCTATAGGTGCCAGGGACCCACTGCCGGCTGTCCTCCCTGGCCCACACAACCCTGGGTCCTGGATGCCTAAGCAAGGTGGACTGGAGGCTCATAGTCTCTTAAAGACAGTCGGGTACCCTGCCATGGTGGAGGAGGGCATGCCTCGTCGCCCAAACCCCTACTACAGCGGTCCTGTCACACATGCATCACCTTGTCAGCACAGAGACAAGGTGTCCACTGGCAGCCATGCCAAACCCATGTTGGCCTGACTAGCGCCCCTCTCCATCCTCAAAGGGTTGGAGAAGGAGCGAGAGGGGGAACACCAGCAGGGAGGAAACGGTAGACTTTTATGCTCTATTCACACTGTGAGTGACACAGCAACAGCGTGACCAGCTACAGTGTTGCTCGAGATCTCGTTAACGCAGTTATGTTGTCAGTGGCTTGTGTGTGTCTGCTACTTGCTACAAACCACTTCGACTGATGCCATCGAAAGTTTATATTTGGTAAAAAAAAAAAAAATAAAATCTATGCTTTTGTCTGAAGTGCATTTTTACGGAAGCGTATTGCATTCATATTGCATTCACTAATATGATATGGTAATTGTTTTCTGTTTTTTGTGGTAATTTTTTTTCCTGAACGAGGAGACGAGATACTTCAAAATCTCTAACCTAACCTGTTAATTTAATTAATTTTAATTTAATTTTACATT